CACCTGACTTCATGCACAGCACTTGTTCTCCACTTCCCTAAAGGATACTCTACAGTTACAAAGACTTGTTGAGGTCTGTGTTGACTACCTTCCAGAGCAGGAGACACGCAGATTTCTTGACCAATTAGAAAAAATGTCAGGGAGGCTAATCTCAGGACCAGTCTTCAGTATAGTCCCAAATGGCTGTAGCACTTGGCCATCGTAGCAGCAGCAGCCTGATACCTCTGCAACATCGTTTTCCGGCACACTGCATTGTCCCCACTTACAGCCCTGTTCTTCCACTGACTGTACATGTCTGCATCCTCAGAGCTGCAAGAGGAGAATGGCTGCAACTTCAAAGCAGTATCACACATTCTAGGATACAGCCAAAGGCAGTGATGGATTAACTCTTTCTGTTGTCCGCTAACTCTATCTATAAAGGCCTGCATTAACAGGTTCACATCCTGAAGACTTCCTGGGGCACTGGGGCTTTCTTTGGCAAAAAAGAAAAACTAGGTATATTCAAGATCATGTTGAACACAGTGTCCAAAAAACTAACAAACAAACAAAAAATCACCCCCTGGGGAGCCATATGAAACAGGACTGAGTCAATGTGTGCCCCTTTTCTCTCTCTTTTGACAGTTAGATGTTAACGTTCTCCTTTATTGCTGACACAGATCTATACATTAATAATAAGCCCATAAGTTAATATTCCAAAGGAGTTCTTTCTCCCTAAAGTTTGCTGTATTAAACTGTAGAAGCCAAAGAATAACATAAAATTTAAATAAGCATCAGAAGGTCCAAATGAAGAGGGTGGTATTTTTTAAGTGTGTGTTCAGTTAGGGTAGCTGTTTGGCTCAGTTATTTTGCCCAAACTGGTTCAGCCATCTTTATGACAGATCAGGTGTAGCATGACCACAATAACATATGCACTGAGGATTATAGATCTGGCTGAACAGTGCCAAAAGTTTTAAGCTACAAATATTTATCTGAATTTTGTAAGAAAATCAACATTGCCAATGTTCATGCACTTGTAGTGCTCACTTTCTGTGAATTTACATGCAATTGAGTTTTACTAACACACCGTGTTTGAGTCTTCACTGAAAGCAAATTCTGAATGTTTTCATTTCAGCCACTGGATAAAAGGTGGCTCATTAAGGCCTCTGTTCTTCAAAAGTATGCTTAACTTTAAGCATGGGAGTAGACCCATCAATGGGGACCTACATCAGAGAGCAGAAAGGGCAGTCACAACAGAGAAATAAATCTTGAGTCTCAGGTTTTGAAAAGTAAGCTAAAGAGTAAATGCAATTTGTAAGAAAGCTTCAGTGAATAATTTTGAATAAGGAAGAAATTTGAGAAAATTGCAACCATGTACGCAGAGGTGCTGGAACAGTTTGTGTAGTGGGGGTGCTAAGAACTAATGAACCAATCTGTAAACCCTGTATATAATGGAAAACTTCAAGCTATGGAGTGTGGCACTACCCCTTATACATGCATAGGTGCTTGAACTATGAGATCAAATTCGCTGATAAAATTATCCATTACAAAATATTTGTTTTAAATATTTACTGGCAAATCTGAAATTTGTAAAACTCCTGCTCCCCTTTCCCTCTCCATCCCCCTTCCCCCTCCCCAAAAAGAAAAAACCGAATTTTTGGTTTAAAAAAAACCTAAAACAGAAACTTGAGAGTGAGAAAAATAAGCCACCACCAGTTATGTTGTCTTAATGCATCCAGCCTGGCAACTAGCTGGAAAGAATTAATTACTACCTTCCATCTCAGGAATTCATAAAAATACTGTTATGAGATAGGTAAATATTATCTCTATTTTATAGATGTGGAAAGCTGGGGTGTGTAGTGTCTAAGACTCAGATTTTTTAGAAGTGTGCACCCAAGTTGTACCTACAAAACCCCATATTTTGGGGATTTACATCTGTGTACAAGTCCAGTTGCACATGTGCATCAGGCATTTTGCAGTCTCAACTGGGAGGTACACAAACATATCCATGCACTTTTAAAAATCTGAGCTGAAGGTTAGCACACAAAGTTTGCAGTAGAGCCAGGATTAGAACTTCCAAATGTTGACTCCAAATCATCAGGTAACATTTTCAAAAGCAGCCAAGGCTATGTCTACATTGCAATAAAAACCCCATGACACCGAGTCTCAGGGTATGTCTTCACTACCCGCCGTATCGGCGGGTAGCAATCGATTTATCCGGGATCGATATATCGCGTCTCGTTAAGACGCGATATATCAATCCCCGAACGTGCTCACCATCGACTCTGGAACTCCACCGGAGCAAGCGGCGGTAGGGCAGTCGACGGAGGAGCCGCGGCCGTCGATCCCGCGCTGTGTGGACCCCAGGTAATTCGATCCAAGATACTTCGACTTCAGCTACGCTATTCGCGTAGCTAAAGTTGCGTATCTTGGATCGATTTCCCCGCCCCCCCAGTGTGGACCAGCCCTCAGAGTCCAGGTCAGCTGCTTTGGGCTTGTGGGGTTTGGGCTGTGGGGCTAAAAATTGCAGTGTAGATATTCTGGCTCAGGCTAGAGGCCAGGGCTCTGAGACCCTCCCTCCGCACAGGGGTCTCAGAGCTTAGGCTTCAGCCCAAGCCCAAACATCTACATTGTGATTTTATAGCCGCCAGCCTGAACCTGAGTCAGCTGACCCAGGCCAGTCATGCCCATGCTGTGTAGACATACTCTAAGTTACCTAGGGTGGACTCACAAGGAAAACTTAAATAATTAACTATTAATTGGGTCAGAGAGTGAATGACTTTATAGCTCAGAGGAAGGTGGAAGACCCAGCTTCCACTCCTCCTTTTCCATTGAATATTTAAGTAGTTATGCACTGCAGAACAGCTTCAACAGGAAAGACAGAGAGACCTACAAAGCACCCTCGGGGAAGTGGGAAACCCACACTGAAATCCCTGTACTACACTGGGATTTGAATTTAGGTATCCCACATCCCATGTTCTAACCCCAGGCAAAAAGTTATAGAGGCAATACTTTCTCCTTCAGCAGCTTCTTATGTGGGGGTTTAGGCATGCACAGAGTACCGCTAACAGATTGGGCCCTGAAGGCAAGAGAGGTGAGGGAACGCCTCTTTGGTGAATCCTGTTGGGGCTTAGGGGTGAGTTAAGTGCAAAGCTGTTGGGTGGAGTCAGGGTTTAGGTGCCTCAGAGACTTTAATGGTGGAAACTCAGGCACCTAAAGGGTTGAGCAGCAGCAGAGGATGTGTTTTGTGAAAGTGAGTAGTACCTAAATGTTAGCTTTAGGCACCTAAAGAGGCAGTTAGGGTCCGAATTCCCTTTGTGAATCTACCCCTGATCCTGCACTCCTTACATAGGGAAAATTCCCATTCACTTCAAGCAATGAAGTAATTTCAATAGGAGTTTTGTCTTAGTGAGGAATTCAACCTCTGAAAAGAAAAAATGGTAGTATTACAGCATATGTGATGCTCATTGAAATATTCTCTTAAAGTATTTTCCCATGACGTAAAAATATTAATCTCAAATGCAGGTCAATTCTGAATTAGTGTAGACTAGAGCGCCAGGTTTTCTTGCACTCTCCACTGAATTTTGGAAGCCAGCATAGGTAAACCCAAATGTATTTAGTATAGAAGAGTTAATGAAAAGAGAACACATTCCTTGTACCTTATAGTGGATTGTTCACAAACAAGCAATCAATATCAACCCCATGCAATTCTTGCAACAGGTTTGACTGCTGCTGAATTTATAAGACTGTTTCCAATTTCTATAACTAGGAGCTCACTAAAGAAAAGTATTATGTAAATTAGGTAAAATTAATATGAACAACTGACAAACTATAGACCCTCTTGGAAGTTCACATAAGCATAATGGCTTGCATTTTTCATTGTAGACATAGTTGGCTTCAAACATATTTTATAGAGAGACAAATGTAAAATTAAGAAAAAATTAAGTCAAACAATTCTTTGACATTTTTACTCTGAGCCCTTCACAAATCAGTGAAATTTGCATCAGCCTTAGCAAGTTAGTTAAATGACCTGAAAGGAGAGAATGGGACTGATCAAGTTGAAAATAATGTTGAAAAGAAAAATAGCTAGGTTTTAGTCAAAAATAACAGCTATTATAAATTATATATTTGACACCTGATAAATAATAGCATCCCTAACAAATATCCTAAGGAAACTTACTTTTTGGCTTGATCCTGCAGTTGTTTGATGGTTATCGTGAATAGGACACGATTTGGCCCAGTTTTCTACTCTTCCAAAAGCAGTCCAAATTTACTTTCTTGTACTCCAGCTGTTTTCACACAGCAATTTCTGATCTTAGCTCTGCTACAAATGTTAATTTGGGAAAGGTTTGACTTTCTTTCTATTGCTTGTTTTCCTGTGACTAACATTGGAGTGCAAATCTCAAAAACAAATAACATGATAACTGCAAGAAAATGATTCAGAACTTGTGCTTTCTCTTAGTGATCATTTGCCTCTGAAACAAATCTAGAAAAATCTGGTTCATCACCATCTATCTGGAGACATAAGAGATAAAATAACGAACAGAGTATAACAATAATGAATGTAGCAGCCTTATTATTATATTCCATTATCTAGAGGATATGAGATGTGCATACTTAAAATGACTACACAGATGTAGTTCCCATATTTGTGAGAAGTCAGGTATTCTGTCTTTAAGACTCAGTTATTTCTGCGATAACCACCGATTCTCTCTTTTGCAGTTGAAATTCCAACAAGGTAAAGGCTCCCTCTGTAGGAGTGTGACTGAAAATGCTCCTGGGCAACAGAAAAGCAACAGAAGAAAATGTTTTATAAAGCAATGTGTTTTCCTAGAGACTTAACATTTCCTTTTTAAAGTAGGAAACATTTTATGCATTACCTATACTAAAGAAAGAAGCATTAGGACTGATATGTATGCAGCTATAGCTCCAGTGCTTTCTAACCTGTCAGAGACTAAATATTATGTATGGGGCACAAAAGAAGTTGAGACTGAATAAGCTGCAAATAACACTCTCTGCTTTAGGTAACATTTATGAGAAGTTTGCTGAAGAACATCCTCTGATGAATAAGGTGAAGTGAAAAATGAATTGCAGGTATCTCTGTAATAGAATGAAACATGATTTCAGCCAAAGGATCTTTATGGAGACAAGAAAATTCAAAGAGGAACATGCTTGCAAAGTATCCTCGTAACCTGTGCTTTTATAAAGTTTACCACAATCCAGATTCATTATCTGTCCCACTGGGTAAGTATATTGCTCTCTAAGAAATTGCTTTGTTAGCATGCTCACAGACCCAGATTAGCTATTTTGTGGGATCTCTTGGGGCTGTTTATAATTATTTAGGGAATCCTTTCCTTAATTTACAATGTGGCAGCTAGCCAAGACAGAATCCCAGCCTAGAGAGAGGTGGGGAATCTGACACAAACATTTCCATCAGGTGATTTTTCCAGTAGTCCTTGCCTTGACACAAGTAAAATATAATTTCATAATTCTAACCAAATATTCACCAATGTGACCTTTCAGGTTAGGATTAACTATTTTCTAATTAATGTTATTAAGCTATTAATGGTTATCATGTATAAGAAAAATAAAGAAACAGGGCAAATGGATTTTTCACAGCTAAATTTAGTTTTTTATATTCTGTAAAATTTACAATGCACACATAAATATTACTTAAATTTTGCAAAACCTATTTTAAAGGAATATGTAGTTTTTGCTGCAGAAACTGGATTTACTTGTGGGACAACAGGGGAAGCTAGGAAGAATACATTTCTGCACTGTTCATCATATAGTAGTGCAACAGTGGATTTTAATTGAAAAGGCAGTAGGCCATCAGGTTTCACAATTTATGAGGGTGAACTATAGCAGTCAGGAGCCAGTATTTGACTACTACCCTCTTGATATTGTATCTTATCCTATAATTTTTTTACTTTAGTAGCAGTGGATCTAAGTGCGTGTGATGTTGATATTGCAGAGTTCTTAGATGGGATAAGCAAAAAATAAATACAAAAAATCTAGTTGTGTTCTGGACATTTTTATTTATTTATTTTTTACTAAAAGAATAGATGATAGCCAGAGAGACTAATTCTATATGATTTATAAACAGATATGTTGCTAGTCAGTGCTATTATTTACAAAGAGAGGTCAGGGTCTGCTGAAGAAAGTGAAGGTTCTAGGGATGGACAATCTACGCTCATGAGGCTATAGACTGTCCATGGCAACGTCTGGTTGTAGTGAGAATGTGGACATCTGACCATTAATGCAGCAGTCAGGCAGCATAGCTTTAATAATCCCTGGATTGCCCAAGATGTGTGGGGAATTCTCTATGTCTCCATGTAGGCCTAGCTCATCAGTGATACTCCAGGGTCTCAACTTCCATGGCAGCAGGGCACCTTTGGGAACCGAGCTAGAGGAAAGGGTAGATATAAACTTGCCTCAAATCCACCACCTACAACAACTTTTGGTCAAAGACCGATAGTTTTCTGCTCTTTTCTTCCTCGCTCTGAGAGGGTGGTTTAATCGGCCCTCAGTCTGGAGTCTGCTGATGTGAGATTAGTACCATTGCTTTCTATAGTAAGAATCTACATTTGAGCAGTGGAACACGCTGAGGTCATTGCTCTCCAGCTGCGGCACATGAAAGAACTCCTCAGCTCACTTCCATAATTGTCCATTTCACTGCTACACATGGCAAAACCCAATACTGTGTCCACCAACCCCCTCCCAAATGCCAATTTCACGTTCAGGTGGAAATTAGACTGGCCCCGCTCTGCAGATTAAATCTTATCACCAAAATTCCCAACTCAGGGGTTTTGTTGGATTCCCAGCAATTTCTAGCTGATCAAATACAACAGGGACCAGGGTGGCTTTTTTCCAGTCTATGTCTAACTAAGCATAGTGACTTTTTTTTCCTCTTGGACATGGACTTTGCTACCATGATCCATGGTTTTGTCACCTCTAGATTGGATTACTGGAATAAATTCTGTTTAGGGTTACATTTTAAACCAATCCAAAAACTGAAACTCATGTAGAATGCAACCGCTAGTTTAAGTGGAGTACCTGGATGTGTATCCAAGACCAGCATTCCAGAGTTAGCACGGATTCCAAAATTGTGTTTAAGATGTTGGTATTCATCTTTGAAGCCCTAAATAATCTAGGACTATCTAGTTGACAACCACTTCTTTCCCCATGAGACACTGCTATAGTTGAGCTCAGCAGAAGCACCTCAAGTAGATGCATCCCAATTGGTATAGAGTGTGCTATTGGTAAGATGTTCTCTGTCAGAGCTCCACCACTTTGGAATTCACTCGTCTGGCCCCAACTTGTTAATCTGCAAGGCACACTGCAAAGTCCACCTGTTTGAACAGGTGTTTGGGGGTATTCTGAAATGTTTTGAAAATATGTTGGGTTTCCATGGGAAACTAAGGGGCAGCCTGATTTTTCTGGACAATGTTTTTCTTGCTGGATGATTGTTTGATGTGGGTGGGGGTTGCAGCTGTTTTATTGGTATTAAATAATTTTAATTGATAGCACCATGATTAGAACCTTTTTGTGCTGTTTAACTTGAACTAAAATGCTGGAAGGAGGGAGCAGGCTGGTGGGCTTGGCCCATATAAAGAATATCTACGATGAAGCTGTTAGGCTTTCTCCTGAAAAGAATCACTGTCTTCCTTATTTCTGTTTTAAGGGATGATTGAAGGCCCAGATCAGATATTTTTTTCTGAACTGGTTTGCTTATCTATGACGTATCTTATGACGTGTGTGACTTGCAATACGTTGACATGCAAGTGTCGAGCTAAGACATCTATTTTTTATGCTAAGCTCATGTTGATTTGTTACTTTGTCCTCCTACCTACCTCACCTCATCTGCCTGTTTTGTAACCTGGTGCATCTGGTCTGATACACAGTATGAAATCCTGGCCCCACTGAAGTCAATCGCCAAAATTCCCACTGATTTTAACTAGATCAGGATTTCATCCCTAGACTCCTAGGGCAGACACGGTCTCCTTTGTTATTTATCTGTACAGCACCTAGCACAATAAGCTTTGGACCCTTGAGTGGGTTCCTATAAGGTATTGTCATACAAATAATAAATAATACTAATAACAAAGTGATATAACAATACGTCTCTTGCAAAGTGAAACAATAGCAGTATTATCCAGCCAAGCACCTGACAAACATCCTAGGTTATATTTTGTCTTGACTGACAATCTGCCCATGGCTGCCTGCCATACTTGCAGACTTGGTCTCTTATTAATTAATCACATTGGCCCCTCTTATAGGACCATGTTAGCAGCTTTAGATTTGTCATTGCAGTTTCTGATGATTTACTCAAGCTTCCATCCTGGAGCATCAGACAGAAAAACAATGTTGTTCAAAATGTGTTCCTATTTTTTGGGGGGGGGGAAGAGGGGAGGTGGACTTGTACTATTTTTATTAACTTTTCACCTGATAGCTGCTATTATTTTCTCACAGTATTATTAAAACTCATTCCACCTTGGCTACTTACTGATCTAGGCCTGAGGTTGTAATCATAAATTGATTAGAGAAAATAACTTTTCCTTTCAGTCTTTTTGCCCAATTTCTGTATCTATGATTTAATCTCCTACCTACCATTAATCTCACCAGTCCCCGCTGTCTTTGTACCATGTTCCTTCCAGTTCTCTCTTAACTTTGTCATCTTTAAGTGTTGAGATATGTGTTAATATTTTAACGTCTTCCTTGTCACCCAACATTTTTCCATCTATTTTTTTAACAGTCATGATCAACCCTATTTTGAAAAATCCTACATTAGACCTCAACACTCTGAGTTGCTATTGTCCAATGTCTGTATTTTCTCCTGCTTCAAAACTATTAGCATTCACTGTAATATCTGAGTCAAACTTAGCCTTTTCCCTCTGACCATAATTGGTTTGACCCTTTCTGGTCTCGGTTCCACATGAGCTACTAAGCTGAAAAGGCATTCCGTAAAGTTTAAGATGTCTGGGTTCTCTCATATTCACATAGTTGATCTTTTGTATTAATTTTGCTCAGTTATCTTCAGCTTTGATACCATTGACCACAAAACTCTTATTGAATGATTGCTATTTGTCTTTGGGTTCTGTAGTCTAATATTACATTTCCTGGCCCCAGTCCTGCAAATTTACGCGCACTAGTAACTTGACGCATGAAAGCAATCCCACTGACTACATGAGCGTAAAGTTTCTCAGGAGCATAAGTGTTCGTGGAACTGGAGCCTTTGTTTTTATTTTACTGTTCACTGATTTCAAGGTGTTTGTAAAAGGACTCTCTACCGCATTCATACTATTGATAAGCCTGTCCCAGCCCAGTTTTAGGATTTCTGTTTTTTGTTTTTTTTAAATTATAGTTTACAACTCTTCAGAGTTTTAATTCAGTCATATTGATTTGGGTACCATTTTTATGGTGCTGATGCTTAAATCTATTCTTTAATTTTTATGATGCTGTCCCTGAATGTGTAAGACAATGTCTAGCAAAAGTCATTAACTGGATATATTATTACTTAAATAGGCACAACCCTCCTGAATTTACCAGGTTTACAGATTAATGCTTCTACTGCACTGAGGCAAACACCAGCAAATCTTTTTATCACGATATTTTTTTTAAGTCAGCTGTCATTTTCATTTAATTTAAAAACGGTTCATTTTTTCCTAATGCTAAATTCTTATTTCACACACTGAGGCCATGTTTACACTACACAATTAAGTCCACCTAACTTACATTGGCATACAGCCGCCTCAGTAATTACATCACTTGTACGTGTCCATCGTTTGCTCTTTGTGTCGGTGGTGCACGCCTTCACCTGGAGTGCTTGTATCAATTATACTGCCAGTGTGGGGCATCGTGGGATGACTCCTGAAAGCCAGTAGCAGTTGACATAAGCAACAGTGTCTACACTGACACTGCATCAATCTTGACTTTCTGCCGTTCATGGAGGTGGAGTTATTAAGTTGGTGCAGCAGCTACATCACCGGGAGTAAAATTTAAGTATAGACATTTCCATAGTTAGCTCAACATAAACTGCCTTGCGTTGACCTAACTCTGTAGTGTAGACCAGACCCAATTATATCCCACTTAGATAATTATTACAATTGTCTTTTTGAACTTCCCCCTTGCAGCATCAACAGTCATCAGTTCAACCAAAACTAAATGGCTTCTAATACAGTGGTTCTCAAACTGTGTTCCGCGAGTCATGTCTGGCTCCAAGGGGTCAGCAAGTCATGTTGGGG